ACGTCTGCAGCTGCGCCAAGAACTTCATGAAGACGGACAACATGTGCAAGGCAGAAGGTCAGGAGGGAACGGGGCGTGCACAGACCCTGTGTGTGCCCGTGCCACTTTGCATGATCCTCTTCCCTCCCTGCTCCTCCTCCTCCCCCAGCACCTCTGCTCACTCTTCCTTCTGGCACTGCCAAGGGCAGATGCCGGGCTCTGCCGGTCAGTCTGTCCTTGTCTGGCAGAGCAAACCCCAAGGGGATGCCAGGCTCCCAGCGACCCTGTCCCCTGCCCCACCACGGAGCTGGGCTGACCCCCATGCTCCCAGCCCAGCCTGTGCCAACAGCTCCTCCTCTGCAGGCTCAGAGCACCAAATCCTCTACATCGCGGACGACAACAAGATCCGGAGCATGTATCCCTTCAACCCCAACTCAGCCTACGAGCCAGCCTTCCAGGGCGATGAGAACGTGCGCATCGACGCCATGGACATCTACGTTAAGGGCAACAAGATCTACTGGACCAACTGGCACACGGGCAGGATCTCGTACCGGGAGCTGCCTGCATCTTCTGCTGCCTCCACTGCCTCCAACCGCAACCGGCGCCAGATCGACGGCGGCGTCACCCACCTGAACGTGAGCTCTGTCAGGGGCACGGCGGGAGGCACCGAGGCCGGGCTGCTGGCGTCCTCTTCTCCCCTCACCTCTCCCCACTTTCTGCCCTTCACAGATCTCAGGGCTGAAGATGCCGCGGGGCATCGCCATCGACTGGGTTGCTGGAAACATCTACTGGACAGACTCGGGGCGAGATGTCATTGAGGTGGCGCAGATGAAAGGAGAGAATCGCAAGACGCTGATCTCGGGCATGATTGATGAGCCCCACGCCATCGTAGTCGACCCGCTTAGGGGGTGAGAGACTCAACCCTTCCTCCCTTCCCTCTGCCCAGCCCTCACCCTTGCTCCTCTCACCAGTAAGCCCATCCATGGTGGAAGCTCCCGGTCCCCCAGCATCACTCTCTGTGTCAGGTCAAGTCACTGGCCCATTGGGGTCCTGTCTGTGACTCTGTGACATTGTGGGGAGAACGTGGGAGGGTTTCTCCATCAATGGGGCATCAAACTGCCCTGCTCTTCCCATCTTTGATCCCCTGCTGGGAATGACCTGCCTGTGTCCTTTGCAGAACTATGTACTGGTCAGACTGGGGCAACCACCCCAAGATTGAGACAGCCGCAATGGACGGGACGCTGCGTGAGACCCTGGTGCAGGACAACATCCAGTGGCCAACAGGTGAACAAAGATGGGTTCCGGGGTGGGCACAGGGGGTG